ATAAAATATTAGAAAGAAATAAGAAGTAAGAAAAGAAAGAATAAGAAAGTTGGTTTAAATAGGAGCGGAATGGGAGGTGAATTCCACAGTCGTCAGATACGATGTAAAACTTTAAGTAAATTAGTTAGTTGTGAATTTTATGAAGAATAAATAAAATACCTTTTATATGAAAATTAATTGTTTCGATTGTTTTTGTTACTATTTTCTTATGATGAAAAAGTAATTTTGTTCAATTAACTGTTAGTAAAGCGTAATGTTATTTTAAAGGTAATAGGTTCGCCCTAAACTTTATTGTAATGTTCGCTTAATTAATTTTAATTGGATAAATTCATGGTGAATTTAATGTCATAGCAAGAATTATGAAATGAATAAAATATAAACTTTCGTAAAGAGAACTATCGTAAATTTGAAAGAAGAGAAAGGATGAAATATCGTGGCGAGAGCTATCGCAATTTGAAAGTTAAGTAGTAATAAAACTAAACCAAGCAAGAATATTAAGGTTTCGTGGAGAGCACATATAACAAAAGCTGGGAACTTTGTTTACCACCGGGTGGCAGACGGGGGTGACAGCGGGTACTGGGTGGCAGCTTGAATGGTAGAACACCACTGGGAATAATCTCAAACAAGCGAGTCTGTACTATCTCATGTTCTCTCTGTCTCAGTGGTCACTGTCATTGGTCAACATTGGACTACTAAGCTATAAATAGGTTCTTAAATATGAACCTTTACCTTAAGTCAAATACAAGACAAATTAACCCATATAGGGTTGATCACCCTATCTCAGTAGTTGATTACTAAGACCTTCATTAAGCCTGAGTATGGTGATGTTGCAGGTTCGATTCCCATGATCACAGAAATAAAAAGAATTTTACTGTGGACGCTACCACCAATAACGTGAAGATACAGGGATTAGGTAGTTGGACTGCATCATAGTGAATTAGTGTGTACAGTTAGGTCGCACATTTCAACAAAGGGTTATGGTGTCCTTCTAACGTTCCCTATGAGGTCATTGGGATGTTCAGAGTCCTGTCTGTAATGTCACTGCTTGCATACCTTGGGGTAATTTTCTATTCAGGTGGTCACTCAAATGATACCGCTTAGGATCTAATGTGGCTAGATGGTTATTATAGATGGTAAAATCCTGGGTGCAATGACTTTGTGGTAGTTTACCTTCTAATAGGTTTAGGCCAACTAGGATATTCCTAAACAGACAGGTGTACTAGGTGAGGTATGGGGTTCAACTCCCCACTAGGCGGGTACCGGGTGGTAACTTGAGTGGTAGGGCACCATTGAGAATAATTCCAAATAAGCGAGTCTGTACTATCTTATGTTCTCTCTATCTCAGTGGTCACTATTATACCATTGGGGGATTCACAACTATACCTTGGGGCTAAGGAATCATAGGGCTGTAGTGACCTTGAGTTAAGGTTGCTTGCCGAAACCTGTTTGGCCTAATGCCGAAAGGTGAAACCTCTTATATAGTGCCGAAACGCTGAAACGCTGAAACTGCGAAACCTGTCAAAATTGCGAAACTGCCGAAACATGCCGAAACCTCTATAATAGGTTTCTCCGTAGTTTCGGCATAGTTGATCATAAGATTTGCATATAGTTACGCCAAGTTACACCAATTAATAATATAATTTAGATGATCAAATAATCTACAGATAAAAGATTAAACTTCAATATTTTACCGTCGTCTTAGTTCTTTTAAGCTTTATCTAGTGTTAGAATTTTCATTTCTAACTCCCATATT